AAGCTGCTCCTAACTAAAATTTAGTGTAAGAATGTGTAATTCTTTCTACGTAATCCTGCTATGCCCTTTTTTATAGAGAACCAAGAAATTCGTTTATGAATTCTAAATCTGGGAACCCTCGTGGTAATCTTCACATCTGTCTGCGTGGTTTAAGGATGAAGTTGTAGCGATACGTTGTACACCCACGCCAGACTAAATCCACTCCTGATGCATTTCCATGGAAGGCGATAGTGTTATACTAGGAATAACTTTACCCCCTTGTATCCATTTCTGAAAGAGCGCTCTTTTTCACTACTGGCTAATTAATTACTTCCAGAAGAAAAGTGTACTGTATTAAGATTAGCAACTCCTTTTCAGGACAATACTTGTTATTTATTTACTGTTCAGGACAAGTTTTCCCCAAGTTCAGCCCCAAAAGCTCCTGATGAGAGATCATCATTAAGATTAACAGTCCTTAGGGCTTGGTGCTGCCAGCTGTGACTTTCCAGAGTAGCTCCAGCTCACGCCAGCTGCATTTTTGACCAGAGTGTAGGAGACAGCAGCTAATTCGATGGCTTGCAGCCAGCTCACCTGGGTGAGGACTAAGGGAAGAAAGCTGCTGGTTTGCGGTGTGCAGTATGTTCTCTGAATAAGGGGACGCTGGATGAGGATGCTCTGGAAGCAGCCGGGGTTTGCAGCTAGGAGATCTGAAGGCTGCAGATTCGCAATGGCAAGGCGATGCGGTTGCAGAGAATTGCAAAACAAATTCCAGATTTTTTGTTCTCCTCTTGTTAACAGTCATGCTGGGAGAAAGCGCGCCGCACTTGGTATGGTTGGAAGCTGGATTTTAGATTGTCTTTTTTGGCAGGATGTTTCTTAGAGATAGGCGATAAAAATGGAAATAACTGGAAAGTGACTGGGGAATGAGTTGTCTGTAGATTCGCAATCCCACCAGAAACTGCGTGAGAAGGCTCTGGAAGGTTTCCCCGTGCCAGGGTTGCTGCTGCGCCTTTAGCAAATCAAACTACTTGCACAGTACTTGCTTCTTAATCCGGGAAAATTAAAACCACCAGTGATAGCGACATTGTCTAGCCATCTGCTCTCCCAGGTGCTCCCACGCCTGATCAGAGATGAAGTGATGTGACCTAGAATCCTACTGCAGATCTGGGATCATTCCCAGCACAGTCCCAAGCTTCAGTCTTCTGCATGACATCAGATGAAGTAAACATCAAGATTTGATGCGAGAGCATATGTCCATTGCATAATTCATTAGAGTTCTTCTCTGGAACTATTTTTAGATATTTTTTCAAACACAATTAGAGGGTGAGGATTATTCAGGAAAAAAAAAAAAAAAGATAAGAAAATTATGGGGGGGGTGTTTCAGAAACTCGAATAGGTACTTCTCCTGGGACTGAAGGCAAATTTGGCCATTCAGCTATGTGTGCTTGATTTTAAATAATTATTGCTGTCTTGGACATTTCCACAGTCCTTCGTGGCAGCTCAGCTGTGGGATGGTGTAAATCCAATAGCGGCACGGGAAACCTGCTCCTTTTTTTTACTTCCCACTGCTGCTAAAACCCCTGTGAGGTCAGACAACATAATTCTTCCCTCACACCAATTTCAGAGCCGTATCACTCCATTGCCTTGAATGCGGTTGTTCCTGATTTCCAAACACGAGACACATTCAAAACTATTTACCTTCTGTTTTGCAACGTATCTAACACTAAGTGTTGGTACGACGTAGCAGGCAGAGTAGATGGTTAGCTTGCCCAGGCTGTGCAAACTGCCTCGTAACTGCAAATCATTGCAGCGATTACAGCTTGTTCTCTTGTGTCAGCAAGAAAATGCGAAATGCATTCAGCTTGTGCGGGACACCTGGGATGTTCCTGTGTTCTTAAATGCAGGCAGTGCATGCCCCTTTTTCCTTGCTTCATTTCACCTGACACACACAGGATGAGTGGCTTTGCTGGAAGAAAGAAAAGAGAAAAAAAAAAAAAAAATTAAAAAAATAAGCAAACCAAAAAATACCACAACAAAACCCCCAACCCAAAAAACATATTGTACAGTATAAGTCACTGAAAAGAAATGGAAGGAAGGAAGGAGGAGCTATTTTGAGGGCTTTTATATCTTCCTTATTGCTAGGAGACTGCTTCCCGTGTGTGCAGTGCTCTCCAGGCTCTCAGCAGCTGCCTCATTTGTACAGCAGCGTTGAGGGCAATTTGTGGAGCAGCTTTGTAGGAGAGAAGGAGAAGCAAACTTGGATGAGAGCTTATTGTCATTTTTCAGTCTTTCTGAGACAAACGCAAGAGTACACGGCAGACAACTGCAGGTGCCAAGGAGAGCATCGTGCCTGAAATGTCAAGGATCTCGGGCTGACCTCGGCGTGTTACTCAGATTTCAGGACAGCCATGGCTTGTTCTCTGCAAGAGCGGTGTGATTATACCACGTTTGGCTTAGATTTGTAGCGCTAGGGAAGCCACTAATGCAAAAATGTAGTATTGCCAACTGAGCCCAGTTTTGGTGTCCCTGATGGTCAGCCCATGTGCTGTGTGGGAACTTACACCATCAAGTACCAGTGCCCCGAGTCACACCAAGGGCAGATGCTCAAGGCAGCTTCAGGAGAAAGCGTGAACAGTGGCCAGACCCACCGCTAGTGACTCCAGCGTATAGAATTCTCAATTCTGAGTAAAAATTATTCTCTGGGAACCACAGTTTTAATAAGGCACCTGAAGTAAGCTGACTGAGGTTGGGATTGTAAATGGACCAACCTAGTGTTGTAGTCATGGGTGAGTAAAGCCTAGAAAAAAAAAAAAAAACACCACCAAATCTAAGAACATGAGAATTTATCATCTAGAGGGGAGTTACTGGGACAACTGTGTAATATCTCTTACCGTTTTTTTCACACTAATGCCAGATGGCTAGGAATGGGATCCCCCACGTTCTCCTTCTAGTCTGAGAAGACAAGAAAATAAACAAGGAAAATGTCTGTGATGGTATTAGTTGGCTGCCTGATAAGGTGAGTCATTGATTTTGATTGCTGAAATAATGAGGACTGCTTTCTAATTTGATTACCACGTTAACCCTTCCTGCTCCATTTGGTCCTGCCCCACAGATCTCAATCATCCTGTTAGTTCCCACTCCTCCCTCGTGCTCCCTGCTTGTGACTAATGCCAAGTTTGGGAACAGTAGCCAAACGTCAGGTGCCTTCAGCACTGCACTGTGTCAATGGACTAATGGATTCCAGCAGATGTAAACGGGATGTCAGAAAAGCTTTATTCAACAAAAATTAATACTTGGAGGAGCCACCTCCAGCAGGTCCCAAAGGCAGGCCAGATGCTCGCTGTTGGCACGGGCTGCCAGCTCGGGGCTGGACGGCAGCCTCACCCCAGGGATTCCCACTTGGTGTCTTCACACCAGCGTGGTGACCTGGTCTGTGATTCTGGAGGTTTCCCTTTTTCATTGTGAATGTGAGAAGCCAGGAGCTCTTTGCGGGTGCTGACGGCCATGAGTAGCCGTGGAGCACGTGGCTGTGCTTCTCCTCCTCCACCACATCCAGGAGCGAGTACTCCCTTGTCAGGCTTTCATCTCTTGCCATGACAACAAAGCTGTCACACGATGAAGCTCTGATAAGATGTTACCAGCAAACCGCGCACGTTTGCCCACACACTTTTGATCAGGGACTGGTCCCTGTCACTGCCTTGTGGCTGGCTGGACTTTGAAAGCAGCTTTGATCCATCTGTGCCAATGAAACAGAGTTGTTTGAAGTCTTTGATCCTTTCTGTGGGCAAACTGTGGCCAGGAAACTTGATGGGCTTGAGATATTTCTGAGGATTTCTTCCATTTTAAGAGTCATGAAAAGTGAGATTTGGCAGCTTTTCCTGTTGGCTGGCTTGTGTTGTCTGGGTAGAACCAGACAAGGGCATTTTACATCAGTTGTGTTGCTACAGAAACCCATCCCTCTGTTGCTCACATCATCTACAAGACTGTCCTGTAAGTTATCAAGACTCAGTTACCCTTCAGCTACAGGACAAGACTGTGTAACGAATTAGAGGAGAAGAAATACGCAGGAATTTTCAGGTGTGGTCTTGAAAAAGATGGAAATTTTGGCAGAAAAAGATGGACGTGTTAAAAAATATTCCTGCAGGTTACTTGACAGGCCCAGGCTCCACGGATGAGAGGAGAGCCCGTGGGGTCTTCTCATCCGTGCGTGGGGTGCCCTGTGCTCAGGTTTTTTTTGGAGGAGCTTGGTACACTCTATGATCCCACGCTCCCCAAAATCCCCGGGTTCATGCCGTATGCATGTTCTGTGCACACGCATTGATTTTTAAACTATAATGTGCTGCCTTTTCTACCTACACAGTGTAGCAAAGCAATTTAGTTCCTTAGCAAATAAAGTGAATAACTGGGTAAGTATAAATGTGTTCCTTCACAGCCTTGTTTGTGACAAAATTGCGAACTAAATCTTCACAGGACATAGAGCTGCAAGTATTCGAGTCACATTCGGACAGCAAAGCCTACTGCACGCAGCTTTAATTACAATATTTCTCTCAAACACAGTCTTTCTCTCATGTTTTTCTGAACATTGTTTAAAGAACTGATGAAAGGGCTGAAAACTTTTCAAACTTTCCTTTTCTTAGGGTCCCTTCAGCTTGGTCTTTCATCACACTGTCGATAAACAGTTGAAAGGAGTCTTCTGAACTGCAGCAGGAGGGAGGAGGAAAAAAGGAAATTAATGATATCACCAAATTGCAACTCTTTCAAGTTCCCTTTAATTGCAGAGGCACAGGGAGCTCATTCAGTTTTTAATTCTCTGATCTCTTGCTCTCCCCAAAGGGACCAGTCTTCCTCTCCTCCCACGTTGCACGCGATTTTCCCGGAGCGTTGATCCCGGCAGAGCGAAACGGGGTGGACGCCCGGCTCCTTCCTCGGGGCTCCTCTGCTGGGCAGAGCCCTTCCCGGTGGGATTTTGGCAGTGGAGCAGCAGCCCGGGCTGGGCAGAGCCCTTCCCAGTGGGATTTTGGCAGTGGAGCAGCAGCCCGGGCTGCCCGTGGTCCAGGGAAGGCAGGGCCAGGTCAGTATTGCCGCTCTCCTGCAAGCCCCGAGGCCTTTCTCTGGGTGAGGACAGCAGAGGGTCTTCATAGAGGGCAGAATAAGTAAATGTTGGCCACAAGCTACGAGCAGCCTTTGTGCCCACCTCTGAGCACCCTCCACCTTTCTAAACCACGGCCCCTGGGACCTCAGCAACGCGTCCCCCAGCACACCCATGCTGGACCCTAATTTTAGGCCGGGCTCTGTGTGCTCTTCACCCTCCCACTGTCCCACGCCAGGGCTTCATCTCCTGACCTTCACATTTGACCTCTTCTTCACCACAACATAGGAATAAAGTCAGACATCCTCTAAACAAAGCTCTCAATCGCCTGATTTAAAGCCGTGCGACCTTTCATGCAGCCCTGGGGTGCCCAAGCTGTGACCAGACCCTGCTGGGGTGCCCCGGTTGCACTGCCACCACGCAGGGATGCTTCCTACTCATTTAGGCACCTGGTAAGATGTTCTCCCTATATTTTGTCTTTCAGACGAAAAGATAAAGACTTTCGAGCGGAATGGAGAGGATGTGGGAGGGTACATTGCATTTAGGTTTATTGTATTTAAGCTAGATAAATGCAGAAGCATTTTGGCATTGTTTTAGGACTCTCTTCTAAACAGCTGGCTTCCTGAAGAAGAAATTATGACACTTCTTGAAACCTTGCAAGTATCGTATTTGTTAGAAATGTCCTTACGCTGCATCATTCCATCTTGTCAGTCCTGGTTAAACCCAGCCTGCTGGCTCGGTGCCTCACCTGCCCATCTGTGAGATGGCAAGTGAGAGTTACATATCCAAGTAGTCCAAAGTTAAAAGAGAAAACAATAAAAACCGCAAGACTATCTGAATATTGCCACTGCCCACCACGGAGCTGCTCAACTAAACGCACCGAACGTGCCCTGGCCGTCTTTGTCTTGTGGGAAGTATCAGTGCCACAGGCTGAAAACTGCTCAAAGAGCCATTTCCACCGTTGAAAAGACTGAGAATTATAATTGCAACAGGTCCATGGGCAGAAATGTGAAGTATAAAGCTTTAAATTCAAGTCACATTGATAAGTATGACAAATAAGAGACCAAATTCCCTTAAAAAATGGGATTACAGAGGCTGTGGGGAAGAAATATTTTGAAGGAAGTTAAAGAGAAGTTAATCTGCTTTTATGTAATTGTTTCCCTATTCTTCCTGAACTGGCTTGCTTGGGAGACAGCTGCTTTCAAGGTTTACAGCCGTGCATATGGTTAGGGGGGCTGGAATTGGCAGCCGCCCGCCTGACAGAATAATGGCTAACTGGAAAAATAGCTGGGTATATAATTTACAAATGATACGACCGCATCGAAATCAGTGAAACACAAACTATTCATTTTTACAGTCTCCAGATTGCTGTCTGTTGTGATCTGTTCCCCCCGATTGCTCCCCCGCGCGCTGATCACCTCTCCTCCCACCGGCGCCCGTGGCGGGGAGGCCGGCGACGAGCGAGGTCTCAATTTTTGGAGGTTTGTACGTTTTCGATACGGGCGGGAGCCAAAGGGTCGGTACCACCAGGCGCGTGGCTGTGCAGAAAGTGGGTCTGCACATCGGCGGCGTGGGGGGTGCCCCGAGGTCGGTGACCCACAGCTCGTTCCTCTCCCACCCGCCTCGTGGGCTTCCAGCCCTGGGGGGTTCTCCGGGGGCTCAGGCAGCCCAGCAGGACTCGGACCTCCAGCTCTCAAAGCTCTGAAAGGAGCCAAACAGCCCTCGGTTGGTACATTTCTAAATTCTGAAATTGTCTGGGTTTGAACCCAAACTGGCTATGGTGAAGCAATCACAAAACCAGCAGTAAAACTGGTGAAGCCACAGAGTTTGCTCACACCAACAGTATTTAACCTTCTGCAGATAACCCCTGTCTTTCCCATCGGAAAATTGAAAAAAACCTTGCCCTTCAAAAAACAAATGCTTTTCTGAATGTACTGTTATTTTAAGTCTGGGTAGAACTACTTCTTCATGCTGTTTTTCTCCCTCAGTTTTTCTCAGTGAGGAAAATGACAGTAAAAGGGTGAGAGAGTGGGAACCATGAAATGCAGACATGAATCTGGAAAAAGGGGCTTTTTCTAAAACCTGGAAATACTTCATCTCCAAATAAATGGCTTTCTGTACAGATATCCATTTATCGTGAACACATCAGTTCTTACTTTCCCTTTGGAAAAAAAAAAAACAAACCAAGACAAAAGTGCTTTGTTAAGCCTTCTGTTCCTCTCCCCAAAAAATAGAGATGTGGCAAAACCCAAGGACACTGGGAGGTGATTCGTGTTGTGGCACGGAGGGACTGCATCTGTTCGTTCCTGGGATTACAAACGGAGGAGGCTTCTTTCCTCACAAATGCCCACGTTAACCTTGAGGTGATCTGTATAATCCATCCTACACCACGTGTTGAAAAGTGTCCATGTTTGAGAAACAAATGCCAGTCTTATTGAGGCATTAGTCTCAGTTGTATTCTGCCCCAGGACTGAAGATTTTACTAGGCTCAACTCCTCAGCTCCTCTTGACATTATCGCTCTGTTTGTTATCCCTCACTTAGGGAATTCAGCTGGCCAGCATGAACCGCCTTGATGTTTTCTTGTCGCAAATTCATGGCTTCACCAGGTAGGCAGTTTGTTACGTTTGAAATATATTCTGCATGGGTTGGAGAGGGTCACGCCACCGTTGAGCCTCTCAGAAGAGCCCAAGCAGCACACAGGCTGGCATGGAGCACTGATAATATTGATTTCTCCAGCTGCATTGTGTTACAGAGTATGGCCTTGCAAAGAAGGAAATTACTCCAGCAGTTGCAGTAAGTGTAAAAACTGCCATGGCATTTAACGGACGCGGTGCCAGGGCTTTTATAGAGTGTAATCCAACTCTTTCAAAATTCTGCTGAAGGATGCTTGAGCTAACAAGCCTCGGCGCTCTCTGATGAAGCAAGCCATGTACATTAGCTTTATTGTCGAGACACAGCGCAGAGCGTTTATTGCTTTTGGCTCATGTACAGTGTAGGATCATTCCGCGAGTTTGCACAAGACTTGTCTATTTGTAGTTGAAAGTGAATTATTTGCTCATTAGTGGTTCGGAAAGGTCTGCTTACTCCCACAGTGTGAGACAGCTTGGGCTTCTCTGTGTGATGAAACGCGCTTGCTTTAGCCCATGCTCGACGGAGTCAGAGAACCTTCAAGGTGGTCCAGAGGACGTGGGATTAGGAAAATCTGCAACTATTGTAAGAAAAATATCCATCTCTCTTTCTTTTCTGTTGCTCTTGCTTGCAGCACCGCCATCCCACCCTGAGATCTGTGCGTGCCAGAGGAGGGAGGTGGGAGCAGAGAACAGTGATGCTCTGGCCAGCCCCAGCCTCTCCTGTCACTTGGTCTTCCTCAGCGTATCAGTTCTGGTGAGCTCAGCCCAGGTTCCAGTAGCCTGCCGTGATCTTGGATTTCATACTTGCTTTGCACCTCTTAGAAAGCGTTCTCTGAATCCGAAAACATGGCAGATGGCAGTTTGTGAGAAGAAAACAGCTCTCCAGTGCCAGATTGAAGCAAGTCTGTAAGTTTTCATTGTATTTAAAAAAAAAAAAAAAAAAAAAAAAAAAAAAAAAGACAACAGTGCTATTTTGAAGGAAATAAGAATGTGCCTAATGCTTCCCGGTGTTGGCCCCGGGTGTTTGAATCCCAGCTGAGTAGAACTCCTTGGGTTTGGCCGGGGCAGCGCAGCGCTCCGTCGCCCACCCAGCCGCTCACGTCCTTCGGCCGCAGCGTAAGCGGCTGCGCCCCGGGGGGGGGGTCGGCAGCACCGCCGGGGCCACGGGCCCCCCCCCCCCCAGCCAGGCCAAGAGCTGCAAACTGCACCCTGCCTTTCCTGCTGCTCCCCTGGGACACCACGCAAGTTCTGTCGAATTGCAAAGGTGATTCTCTGAGTGTTTAGCGGGAACTTGGGCTTTTGGAAAAGGGCAGGAATTTTCCACTCACCCATGTTTATTTCTTTCATGAAACTGCAGCACTGCAACATTACAGTCTTTTGTCCCACTTCTTTTCTGAAATAAAATACTTTGTAGGCTTTGAAGAGGAATATCACAGAAGCTGGTGCTGTACAGTAGGCTTAGCATATTTTGCCTCTCCGGCTGGAGCATTTGCCACTCACCTTTTTCCAAAAGAGTCATTTCTTATCGCTGCTAACTTCCAGGTGTTCACAGAGAAACAGGGCCAGGCTGCTCTGCCTCAACATGGGCAAATTTGGGATTTTCTGTTAGTTTTTTTTCTGTTATGACTTCTGTCAAACAAGGGTGGAATATTTAGTATTGTTATAATGAGCTGCAGTGATCCTCTACTGCCAGCCCCATCAGCTGAGAGGAATGCAGGAAACCATCGCCCAGATGTGGGCAGCTGTGAGGACATGGAAATCGATGGATATTCAAGGCGTGGATTACTGCAGGGGCAGCTTATTTGTGTGTAGACAGGTGGAATGCTGCGTATAGACTTGAGACAAGTTTTGCACCACTTTGACTTCAGTGGAAGGAAACTATTTTATAGCAGAGACTGAAAATTCTAGTGGGAAAAGCTTTAGACAATGACCCTTGATCCTGGTGTCTGTTCACTGTGGCATTGATGTGCAGGACCGTGGTTTTCAGTTCCAATTCCTCTCTATTTTATCTGTTTAAACCACTGGGTAAAAGGATTAGCCTTTATTTTGAGAGTTTAGTATTCAAGAATAGATTAAGACAACAGCATCCTGATGTTAGATGACCATTAACTACTAAATTCTATCAAATGCTCCAGCAGCACCAGTCAAATCAGGCCTTAAGTCCTAAAAGCTTTATACTTTCTCCAAAATAATTACACCACAGTATCACCTTTGAAGCCATGTTGTTCTTTGTTAATCAATAAATGAGTAATTCCTGCATATGTCAATTGGAGAAGTTCTAGCTGGGTTACTTGTGGCTCTCCCTTGGTCAAGCCAGAAGTGAAAAGCAGATTCTTGTGGCTGAGTTACAAAACCACTAAACAAAATGGAAATGTTGATGTTCATTATTGATTTTATTCTTTGTTGCCATGGAATGGTGCTAGTGGGAGCTGTTGTAATCAGATTACTTTAAAACTTACTTACAGAAGGAAGTGCTTAATTTATCCCCCCTTTTTTTTTTCCAAAGTGATACGATATCAAGGTATCTATTGTGTTTCTTGTAGAGCATCCCTTCTCTTTTTGGTTTTCTCATTGTTTGTGTAATTTATTTCTTATCACTCCCTATGATCTTTTTTTAAAAAAAAAAAAAAATGCACGTTTTATCTCCTAAAGTAATCACTCATATTTGTTATGGAATAGAATAGACAATGATTGTTGAAGATAAAACCCCCAAATGTTTCTGATTTCTGGAAATATCTATTGAAAGCTACATTTACTAAATATTCATTTAAAACTCCCTGTGGTGTCAAGTCACAGACACGTGCCTGTGCAGCCTGTACGTCTTTGGGATTCAAGTCAGACAGGCTGATACCAGTTTACCTGAGAATCTGGGAAATGCTGCATTTTGAGTGATATATCCTCTCATAATCTGTGAGGTTTAAAGGTTTTTCTGATTTGATTCTTTACTGCCTTCCCCATCTTGCATCAGATCAAACAGGGTGCGAAATGATAGGAAATCCAAATGGCACATTCGCCTGCCCGCCCTCCGCTCATTCGTAGCAGCGTGAGCAATTGCAGCGAGCGCAAGAGAGAAAGAGTAATTAGGCCTTAATTGCCCCTGATTAGTCATATGTAATGTACCACTATTAGTGGCAATTTCAACGAGCAGAGTGTCCGGGGAAGCCATCCCCCATCCTTAACCGACGGTGTTTATGAGCTACAGCCACCAGCCCTTCCCTGCCGAAAGCTCGCCAGCTCCTCGCAAAAACACCCCGTGGTCCGCTCCGAGGGGCTGCTTGACCCGGGAGAACACAAGATTTTTAACCTCTGGAGGCAAATTCATCCCTCTCCTTGCTGTGTCTGGGCTGTATTCCCTGCAGCAGGCAGCTCTGAACCCAGCAATTCCCACCGGGCTCCCCTGACCACCACCAACCGCCCTGGACAGCAGTCAGGAGGTTTTGCCAACTTCGCTGGATGGCAGCAAGTCTGGATACCTGCCTCTCATAGCCT